ATATAAGAAGACATTATATATGAAATTAGAGTGCATGAATTTGTCCCTCGTATAATCTAAAATTTTTCTTTTATTTTTTTTACCTAGTTATCAATGACGAAACAAGAAGTCATCGAGCAATCATATTAATGATTTAGTCTATAATGGAATGAGACTCATTTTGATGAGGATGACATACACATACACACAAATTCATGTAAATCATACACATACAAGAGTTGATTGAAAATATGGATACATACCAAAGAAAATTAAAATTTATTTCACTTCTATGAACAAATTTAGCTGCCATAGCATAAATAAAAATGATCTAAAAATCGATAAACATCTTTATTTCATGTAATCAAAATTCATTGAAAAACAAGAAGACAGAGTTAGCACTAAGAAATCTTAACGCTACTCTACGATTTCATGTCGCCATCAATGTCGAACGAATAAACATGTACCCGTAACCCATCTTTGTTCAAAATAAATTTTATATTAAAAAAAATTTGTTTTTCAAAAATATTTAAAAATTTATGTAAATAAATCTTTTTTTATTAAGATTTTATTTAAAAAAAAAACACGATAAACATATAGCGTCCTCTTTTATTTTATAATAGAGTGGACCAATCAATGATGCTATCTATTTCAAGTTCTAATATTCATTCAGTGCCTCACACATTCTCTTTGACAAAGAACAAATACTTACAATTTATATAGTCACAAGAAGCAAAACATAAGAAAAATGAATACGCTGGGCAATAGTGATAAAACTGGTTCCAGTTCTATAAGTTCATTTACACGTCTTGGAATGTACACTCAATATTTACTCGATCGTATGACACCATTTATTAGTCTTCGTTGGTTATTTAATTTAATATTATTAGCATTGTTTTTTCTTCGTATTTTTCTTGCACAAGGCTTTTACATTATTGCTTATGGCCTTGGAATATTTTTACTTAATCAATTTATTCTTTTTTTAACACCAAAACAAGATCCATCATTCAGTGAATTAGATGATGAAGAAGGTGATCATGTACCACATTTACCAACACGTTCAACAGATGAATTTCGACCATTTATGCGTCGTTTACCGGAATTTAAATTTTGGTATACATCATTTAAAGCATTAATTATAAGTTTAATTTTAACAATATTTCCAATATTTGATATACCAGTATTTTGGCCTGTACTTGTCATCTATTTTTTTACATTATTCTTTTTAACTATGAGACAACGTATAGCACATATGGTACAATATAAATATGTTCCATTTACACATGGAAAAGTTAAATATGCTGGAAAAAATGAAGGACCACCAGGTGGAGCACCAGGAATTAAAATTTCATCATATTAATCCATAGAAAACTTCCTTTTATATTGATTAGGTTATTTTCTTTTTCTTTGTTAATTTGTTTTTCTTCTTGCAGAAATGAAATATATATTTACTTTTGCGATGCTTGTCTCTTCTTGACTTTAATTGTTCTCATGTCTGTTTATTTTGTCTTCGTTTTCTTTTTTCTTTCTTCATTTTTCTTATTTATTTGTGTTTTTTTGAATATACTAGAAAAAAAAGCAAATAACAACTATAGTGCATTTCCAAGATTATACATCTGCGTTGTTTGTTTTGTTTTGTTTTTTTAGACTTCAAATCGGTGTTGTTATTTAGTTGTACACATTATGGGAATTCATAATTTAGCAAAATTAATTGCTGATCAAGCACCAGCTGCTATTAAAGAAGGAGAAATGAAGAATTATTTCGGTCGAAAAATTGCAGTCGATGCGTAAGTTAAACAAATCATATTAACAAGTTTATTTCTGCAAAGTTACAAGAAAAAAATTGTGTTGACGTGGCTTTCTAGAAATCATACATGTCGAAATATATTAGTCGATTTGAAAGCAAATTTTTCGATTCAGTAAACGATCATTACTAATAATAAACAATCGAATAATTTTATGTACAGATCAGAGATGATAGACCAGGTCAAGTTTTGAAACTTTCGCATGGCTTAATCTGTTCATTTAAAATTGAGCCTGACTAACAGACCAAAGTTGTTGATCTAGCCTCTTACATTTTGGAAATCAAATATTGATGAATCACCTTATTATTGAAGAGTTTGCCGTCAACATCATTTGATTTCGGTCACAAAAAAATGCTTGAATCAAACCTTAATTTAGTGTTTGTACGACTTACATTGATTAACAGAAAAAAACTTATTTAAATTTAAAATAATTGCATTGTAAATGTGTCACGAAAACTGATCGCCTAATTTAAATGTTTTTATCTGTTGTTATAAGTATCATTTATTGTCGACATTTTCGTTTACCCCATTTGTTGTATACTTGAACTTTTGTTATTTTTGCTATCGTGATTACTTTTTCTTGATCATGCGAAACAGTACTAGTTGAATTAAAAAACATTTGCATTAATTCAAGCCTTTCTTGAATGAAAAATACTTATGAAGATTTCCTCTTTACTTGAATTTACTATTTCATGCGAATACTTGTTATTATCTTATTTTTATGAAAATTAATTAAATATATCTGAAAAATTAGAAACATCAGCCAACCTGGCTGAGTGTGTAGACAGACAGAGCAGATCTATCTGTTTGTGCCAACGCATGCTGGGAGAAATTTTTCAAGTTTGCTAAAAACTTTGAAAAGCTATTGACTGTTGGAATTTTTTTCCGTATGGAAATTCCAATAAAGAAATATTTCTCTTATTGTAATAAGAGCAAAAACTACGCAGACAACTTATGCGATTTTGTTTTTGTTTAACAATATAAAGCATTCATTTTTGGAATTGGAACATTAATTGATGATTAATAAAGACTAGATTTTTGTCTGTTAAGTAAATCAATTTTTCTTTTACTTTCTTACAATGTGCAAGCAAACAGACGAGAACCTAGATTTTTCTTTGTTTCAATAGCAAGGAACATTTTGCACTTTAACATCAGATTCTGCAGGTCACTTTGTGATTTTTAGCCTAACCTGTAGACATTTCCAGACAGACCACGTCAGAAACAAAATGACTTATTAGCAGTTCTGATACAGATATATTCAATTTATAAATGTTCTAATAAATCTAATTGTTTGTTTGACAATAACCAAACAATGAATCATCCAGTGAATTTTGTTTTATTTCTTGCACTTGTTAATTAAGACTTATACACTCAATTGAACCCTACTTTGATAGTATTATAGATATTCTATAATAGAAACTGGACATCCTCCCTGAAGATACATTTTTCCGTTTTTTTTTGTATTCATTGACTAGCGTACCGTACACATTTCTAAGACGATTAGAATTCGTAGGGTTCAAAACTTTCGGATCCGAGACATAGCCGAAAGACTCTATATTCGTTCGTTATCTCATTCTTTATTCAACATTATTATGCTGCAATTAAAAATGTTGAGAATATTCATTTTAGTTCAATGTCGATCTATCAATTTCTTATTGCTGTTCGACAAAATGGTGAAAACTTAACTAATGATAATGGTGAAACGACTAGTCATTTAATGGGCATGTTTTATCGAACAATTCGAATGGTTGAAAATGGTATTAAACCCGTTTATGTATTTGATGGAAAACCACCACAAATGAAATCAAAAGAATTAGAAAAACGTCTTGAACGACGTACAGAAGCTGAAGCAGAAATGAGCAAAGCAGCTGAAGCTGGTGAGTATATTTATTGAAAATAAAGAACAAAAAAAAAAAAAATCGAATAAAATTAGTAAGAAAATTAAACACATTTTCTTTTATCTATTATCAATTGGATGGATCGAGTAAGAAAGATTAGCTAAATATTCTGTTTATTTGAATTTTATGGCTTTTTTGTTTAAAATGCATTTATTATTTATTTTGTACATTAAAATTCTATTCATTTTACATTAGGTGATGAAGAAGCATTTGATAAATTTGCACGTCGAACTGTTAAAGTTACTCGTGAACATAATGAAGAATGTAAACGTTTATTAAAATTCATGGGTATACCCTATGTCGATGCACCTACCGAAGCTGAAGCTCGTAAGCTTTGTTATTGTTTTTTTTTTTTATATTCGATCATTCCATATTATTTTATTCAGAATGTGCAGCACTTGTCAAACAAGGAAAAGTGTATGGAATTGGTACTGAAGATATGGATGTAAGGAAGATCGTATTCTTTCTATTTTGCTATTTTAAATATATCTATTTCTAGGCTTTGACATTTGGTGCTGATGTGCTTGTACGACATTTAACATTTAGTGAAGCACGGTTTGTTAAATATTATGTGCATATATTAATTTCAATTCTATATTAAATTTATAGAAAAATGCCTATTCGTGAATATTCACTATCAAAAGTCCTTCATGGTTTAGGGATAAATTTTGAAGAAGTATTATTTGTTTTATTTTAAATCTGATTTTGTTTTGTTTTTTAATAGTTTATTGATTTATGTATTTTACTTGGCTGTGATTATTGTGATTCAATTAAAGGCATTGGACAAAAACGTGCACTTGATCTTATTAAACAATATCGTAATATTGAAACAATACTTAAAAATATTGATAAAAAAGTAAATTTTATATTCATTCTTATTTGCATGTTTGTTTTCTTTTTTTTGCTATTTAAAATAGAAATATAGTGTACCTGATGAATGGGCATATGAAAAAGCAAGGGAATTATTTAAAGAACCTGAAGTTTTAACCGGTGATGCAGTTGATGTTAGTTTATTCTTTTTTTTTATTGATTTAATTTATTTATAAGTATTTGTATTTTGAAATTTTAGCTTAAATGGATTGAACCCGATGAAGAAGGTCTTATAGCTTATATGGTTAATGAAAAAGGATTTGCGTAAGTAGAACAGAGAGAAAAGAATCATTTTTTCTTCAAAAGAAGTTAAACTTCAAGATAATTTATTTGATTATATGTAATGGGATAAACATAACTGGGTAATATACAAGTATTGAAATATTTAATTAATAGAAGGAAAGGAAGCAAAGAAGAATGTCTGAAAAAAGTTTTTTCATGTTTTTATTTATGTTTGATAATGACGTGGATTAATTGCATCAAGAACTAAATTAATATCGCCTTGTTTTGAACGAATAAGTTCACGTAATGCTCCATTAGCATCAATAAAGCCCATGGCTTTCATTCTTTCCATACAATCATCAATAGTTCTTTCTAATGGAGTTCTTATTTTAGTTGAGTTTTCAACGGGTGGTATTATTGAACTTGCTGTTTGTTCTTGATTATTATTATTAGTTTCTGTTACATCTGAAGAATTTAATGTAACGTTTGAATTTGTTGTTGAAGTTTCTTCCTCGTGTTGTTGTTGGTTAGTTAATACTTGTTCTTCTTGTTGTTCATTTGTTAATACTTGTTCTTCTTGTTGTTCATTTGTTGTTGTTGTTGGTTTTGTTTCATCAACATGATAATCACAATCAATACCAAATGGTGATAATGCTTGTTGTAAATATTGTCCAACACTTTCAAGATATTGTTTTGAATTTTGCATTTGTGTTTGGGTATTTGCTCTTAATGAATCAAGATGTTGTTGCACATGAGCTCGAAAATGAGGAGCATTATGATGATTTGGTAACCATTGAGGAATTTGTGCTTGAATTTTTTCAAGATAATCTTGATTTGGTATAAATGGTGGTGGTGGTGGCGGCGGAGACATATGAGGATGATGATGGTGATGATGATGATAACCATGAGGATAATGAAAACTGCCTGGTTTTGTTATTTTAATCATATTATGTTCAGAATGAATACCAGCTGATGAACATTTTTCACATAGATCATAATCCGGACAAACAAAACACTTATAACGAAAACCTATAACTGGACCATTACAACCATCACATTGAACGCCAACATGACATTCTTTATTAGTTGTATTATCTTGTTGTTGTTGTTGTTGTTGAGGAATTGTTTGATTTACTGTAACATAAATTTTTAAAGTTTTTGTATCTTTATCTAAGGCAATAGCTGAACGTAATTCATCATTTGAACTAAATGTAATACGTTCATTTTCTTCATCATTATATTGAAGAATAATATCTTCTAATTGATTATTTGGCAAATATAATTGAACTTTTGTTTGTAATTCATTATAAACATCATTTTCTGGTGAAATATCGAGCTAAATGAATAAAATGAATTTGTAATAAAATTTATTAAAATATAACATACTGTAAATCGACGAATTTCTGGTTGTTGTTGATTAGATTTTGCATAATACGCTTTGATATAATAGGCAGTAGCCATTTTCTTATTGCGTTTGAATAAAAACTAGAAACTGTGAAGAAAAGAGAACAAATCTTGCCGTTAATAAAGCTATTTTTTCTTTACGCAACAAAAAAAAAGAGGGGTAAAAGATATAGAATGATTCGCGTAGACACGTCATTTTGAGAAAAAAAGAACGTATAAAAATGCAAGAAAGAAAGAGTCGAACTGGGTGACAAGCAGTGAATCATACAACCCCGTTGTTTTGTATTCCAACGAGCTTTTTCTGCCCTTATAGCAAACAACAAAAACACGAGTGTAATATGATTATTTTTAAGAAGGAAAAAAAATGTCTCCAACTAGAAATCAATACTTTCACAAGACATTTCATATATGCCATCTACAATATAGATGTCGTACAAAATCAATCGACTAAGCATAGAGACTTCCTTTTAGTTAGATTGATTCATAATGACGCGTTCTAATATATTGGTCATCAAAATAAATTTTTTTTCTCCCCCTCTTCTAGTGAAGATCGTATTCGTAATGGTGCAAGAAAATTAGCAAAAGCTCGAACAACAACACAACAAGGTCGATTGGATTCGTTTTTTACTGTATCTCATACTGTTACGACAACAACACCAACTACGAAAAAAGCCGTACGTGTTTATATTTAAAATAACGATAAAATCAATAGAAATCATATTTTTTCTCGAATAGATTTATTTGATAAAGAAAAAATTGAATTTCTCTGCTTTCTTTTGTAGGAAGCAAACATTGCTACTAATAAAGGTCTCAAACGAAAAAATGGCCCCACAAATGATACTACACCGAAAGGTAAAGTCGGTGGTGGTTCTGCTAAAAAGTATAAATAGAAGCTCGTTTCATCAATTTATTAATACAACTCCGATATAATCAGATCGAGAAGCAAAATTCAGCTGATTCTCATAGTATATTTTTTTTCGCGTTGTTATTATTCATGTTCAAATTACATGGATCTATTTTGTTTTTCTCAATATTTTGTTTGATCAATTTATTTCTTTATTATAAATATCTATATATGTATACAGATATTGTTTTTTTTTGGTTCTTATCTGATAAAATGTATATTTTTTTTTCCAACAAAAAATCGAGATGTGATCTGAACACTAATAGAAATAAAACTCTCGTCGAAATAAAAAAAAAATCAAATTATTTTTTGTAGAAATTTAAAAGTTTAATTTTAACAATGTCTTCATCAACTTCAAAAGTTCAAACAAAAGTAAGCTAATTATACAATGATCATTTAATAGATTTACTTTATATAAAACATGATTTCATATAAGTGTTGACAATATCAAAGTGTATGTTTATTAAGTAATATTTTAAACATTAGTAGATTATTAATGAAATTTGAACTTGTCATTTAATTATTTTGATAGTCACTAAAGGACAAGGAAATTTACTGAACTTATCATTTACAGAACAATTTAAAGTAATGAGCTTTCGAATACAAAAAAAAAATTAAAACTATACAAGAACAAAGCATAATCAGTTTAATTGCCAAACATTAAAGAGAATAACATCAATAACTTGTTTAGACTCAAGCTGCTAATACACAACGTAATGAATCCGAAACATTAAGATCTGGATCTGTAAGTCGTCTATACAAAAAAATATTATTTTATAATTCATCTTTAACAAAATCTAATATTGAGTGTTCATAGTATGGTTTTGAATTTCACACATAACATAAAACTTCACAAACTTGAATAAATCATTATTTCTTTCTCAATAGACATATTCTTTAAACATTAAATCAATATAGTTCATTTGTTTTTCTGTTGAAACTTTTAGACAGTTAGTTCTAAACAGCCAGGAAAACAAGTACCTTCTAAAATAAATAAAAATGGTACCATTAAAAATTGTCATGGTATATATATATATATTCTACTAGATATATTCTATTAAATATTTATTCATCTATCTTCATAGAAATTCTCAAATCTATTCAACGTGAATATGAACAATTTGAAGTAAACATGGACCAAAGTGATTAGAAAAAAAAAATGGTCATCCCTTCAATTATAAGAATATATTGAACATTTTATTATTGACAAAATATCATTACTATTGTATCATCATTGATTTTCAGTTGCACTAAGTGTGAAATATCTCTTCATTGAATTGCACATTCCTACGATGTTTATTTCTTTTGTGAACAATATGTAAATTCTTTTTATTTTTCATAATCATACAATTTATAAATATCTCCATCACTATTATCGAAAAGTTTCACTTAGCTTTCCAAAATTTCACAGTTTAATATCGAGGTTTAAATGCTTCAACATCACGTCGAATTGAAAAAACGTCAAAAATGTATGCCGAACAAGTATTAGAGCATAAACGATGAGAAATGAATATGCGGCACTTTAAAAAAAAAGATACCTCTACCTTTTTGAACAAAACGCAATTAGTGATGACTCAAAATTCTATAATCATTCATGGTATATCCAATTAAATTCACCATACAGCAGACATGTAATTCATTCATAAAAAAACAACAAGAACTTGTATGAAACCTTAATAAATACTCATTTATGAGAGATTTCTACAAAGATCTCAATAAAAGAAATGAATTTGATAAACATTTCCAGCAATCTCAATTGTGTATTTCCTTTCTATCTTTACTTGCGAAAAGATGAGACTAAGTTTAAAAGACATGTTGAGTTGTGATACAATTAAGTATGGCACTGTTTAATCAGTTTTTTTTTACATTGAAATATAAAAATATTACCGCATTCACTTAAAAGTTCAATAACTATCACAGTTATTTTTTAAATACAATCAACATAAAAAGAAAGACTATTTTTTGTTTTGACACGTCTATAAGTTTCTACATGAAGTTCACAGTAGTTTACGGATCAGTTAAACAACTAAGTAAGCAAAAAGATAGAGAATAAATTGAAATACTAAGACGATCAGACTATTCATTTACTCTACAAATATGAATGCATCATTATTTTTTGGTTGCGACTATGAATATATCCTAATTCCCCTAAATCTGACGGCCAATTCTTTATAAAAGAAAATCAAAGCTTCTTATTCTACTCAAAGAAGAAGGTCACTACGAGAACAATTAACTAATACAAATTAAACTTTCCTACAACATTCAATATGTCTTGATTTAGGTTCGATGTCTTTTTTCGAGTCAGTCATCTACATCAAAATCTTCATTTTCTTCTAGTCATAATCTTTTCTTCATCTTTCGTCTTCAGCATATGCTTTGCTATAGTTTTACTCTAAAAAATAATTATTCAACAATATTCACTTGATTTATTAATGATTATTGATTGTATCACACTTTAGTCTGCGTACTAAAGTTTATCATTACAATTAGTTTACTATGGAACACTTGTACGTCTTACTTTATCAAACAATTTCATATATACAAGATCATCTTATAATAAGATACGGAACTAAATCTGCTTGATCTTTTCTCATATAATATATTTTGTACAACACCTAATCGGTTCTTTTCTTATTTATCCAATCTCAACAAGTACTTCTGAAAAAATCATTGAACAAACTCAAATTCTACTTCAGATCGATTGACTTTCACTTTAAACACTTAGTATATCAAAGATATATTTACTTTTTGTTTATTTTCATACAANATAAGCAAAATGCAGGTTTTTATTAGACAAAGAAATAAACCTCACTTGCATAAAGATTAATTAGGTAGAAGAAAACTGAACTCAAATAAATTAAAAAAAAATAAAAAGAAAACAAACAATAATGATATAAAAATGTAAGGAATAAATAGGAAAGAAAGTAAATGAAAAACCAATTATCATACAGCAAAGCACGTTTAACCTTCATTGATATACATGCTTTTTTCCTTTCTCACTGATCAGCATTATTTTTGTTGCTTCTAATGATTTGCAATATTTGAAAGAAATGTCATTATTAACAACATGTTTCATATATAATTCATGAAAAAAAGCTGCACAGTATTTTTTTGAGTTTTTCCAATCTGAGTTATTCATCATTTTCAAGTACCAAATATCGAATGACTTTTGGAATTGATTAAAAGTTGCCTACGTCTTATTTTTATATTTATTTGAATCGATTTGTGTCATTGAGTGTAAATGACGAGTTCGTATATAATACGATTTTGAAAAATCATTGAAAATATAAATTACATATTTTTATTGATTTAGCCGATTGACACGATAAAGCCGATCATTGTCAAGATCGTATCTTCTCATTTGCAAACGTAAAATCGAAAATTCAAAGATTGTTAAATTTTAATTTTACTTCACTTTTCAGTCAATTTGAATTGTTCAGATTAAAAACAATTTAAGACTTCAAATCTTCGTTCTTTAGTTTATTAAAAATCATTTGAAAAATAATCCAAGAATTGAAATCTTCTGTTTTTATTATTTAAAAATAATTACTGAGACAAATTTCAACAGCAGTTTTATTTTGAAGAACTAAAATTTATAGAGTTCGCTCGTGTCTTCAATACAATTTTGTATCTAGTTGAGAAAGATGTAGATTCATTTGATATATGCTTGCGGCATTTCAATCTATTTTGTTGTTATTGGTAGAGTGCGCTAAACTACGTTGTACTCTTCTTTTTCCTCTTAATTAACTGAAATATTTAGAGTTCGCGAGACAGAATTGTCAGTATGAATGTCATAAGCCTTTTTCTCATATTGGAACACTATTTATTTCGTATTATAACATGAAAATCAAGCATCTATTGGAAACAAACTAATTGCAGTCTACTAATATCTATATGCGACAAGGAAAAATGTGAAAGAAGATTTGAAAGAAGATGTGAAAAAAGAGAAGTTATAATTTGGGTATTAGTATTCGAATTCTCTTTAAAAACACATGCACGGAGACCACATTTTCAATAAACTTTCTGAATTATAATAAAACCGATGTCTAATCTATCTTCGACCTAGATCAAAATTATCATTAATATTAACCAAATTCACCCCCTTCGTCATGCTGTAAGAGTGTTCTTTTCTCAATACGAGAAGTAAATAAAT